TGATTCGCGGGGGAAATTTATCATCAGGCACTGAATACGATTCTGCGACTTTGCTCAGCGATGTGCGAACTTGGCGCTATATTTCAAATTTCGGTGTTTTTGGTTTGATTATATTATTGAATTAAATTTATTATTATTATATTATTATTTTTCTTTACATATTTTTTTAATTTTTTTTAATGGAATTGTAACTTTCAGCCAATATAAATCCATTTGACGACAGAGGGGAGTGTTACCTCCACATGTGGGTGACGCTGGTCCATGTTGTCCAGGATGCCAAGGAGGGTCCTCCTCACAAGTTAAGCAGCTTCTCATTGAGAGCGATCTGGGACTGGGTGAAGTTGGCCAGGTAAGTGACCATGAGCAGGTCATTGATGTTGCTGTTGAGCATGGCCTCAAAGTCCTCCGTGCCGATCTTGGGAACTTGGGTCACCAGGTCCTTCAGGAACCTTCCCACCGTGTTGTCCGCTGAGATTTTACCGGACAGCACATCTTCGGCGTACTGCAGCACGGTGGCCAGAGATTCCAGCAGGTGGCTGGCCGCGGATCCCACTTGCTGCAGGTCCGTGGTCAGGCTGTTGGAGCAGTTGGAGTTGAAGTAAGTTTTGTTAATCAGATCAACTCCGATCCTCTCCGTGTCATAGTAAATGTATTGCACAGTCAGTGGGGTGAACATCACCCCCATCGTTTTACCGGGAACACCCATCGAAGTGCTGATGTAGGCCTTGATGTTCATGCGGCTCCCCTGCATGCTGGTGTCCACAGTCAGGTGGACATGGTTGGTGGCCTCCCGGCTGTAATACTCATGAATGAGTACGGTATGCTCTGTGATGTCATTTCCTGTGGCGTACCAGCCCACGATCTGTTTGGTGTTGGAGACTTTCTTATGAAGTTCGTACATATTTTTTTTGGCGAATTCCATATCCAACGCCACCTCGTCCTCGGACTCATTATGGGGGACGGAGAAGCAGTTGGTGATCTCCACAGAATGTTTATCCGTCGTCCCCAGCAGAGTTCCAATCACCCGGGCCCGCCCCCCTCGTTCCTCCGCTCGTAGCTTGAGGCCAGGACCACCGGGTGCACCTTCACCTCTGGGCTGTTCAGCACCACCGGAGCCCCGGAACACATTCCCGGAGCCGCCATCACCGTCCACCGGAAAGAGAGAGAGCCTATATTATTATTTTTTATGATTATTTATTATATTATAATTTATGATTTTGTGTTTCAAATTTTAACATACCCCGGATGTTTACTAGACTCTTGTTCATACAGATTTCAGTGATTTATTCCTAACAATTACAGGCCTACAATAGAAAAATACATATTTCCATGCAAAAAAAATGTACTGCTTTGAGCACAGAAATACTGACATAATCAGACCGCTAGGGAGGTTAAGGCAGAAGTCTTATTAAATTCTGATTTACATTGTAGAAGGTTATAAAATAGGGTTATACCACCTGATTTAGGAGTAGCAGAGCTATGGATCTGTAAATATACTTTGGGTATATATATTGTTTTTACTGGATGTTTCAATAGGCAACTACTGATGCGTGTATAGGTTGGTTTTTCTGAAGAGAGGAGGTTAAAATCTTTCATAAGGAATTCAAACTTTTTTATATAGTTTTCAACACAAATATCTTGTATTGTGCGTATGCCATTATGTTTCCGATTTGAGGTATCTATGCTCGGCATTACGACTTCTAAGGCTGTTATAGGTGTTGGAAGAGGACTTATTCAGAGAGGATCTATAGGTATGAAGCTAAGGATTCCTAGGCTTCAATTGAGGCTCGTACAGTTGGTGTTGTTTTATTGTAGAAGTGGAAAACCCAGATACTCCTGCGCTTGGGGATGGACTCAATGTCATTGGGACCACATAACGAAATTCTTGGGATATGCACGCCTTGCTGCCCTCAAAGGACCGGCGAGTCCAAATATACTGAATAGAGAAAAACAAACAGAGGGTGTACCGGCCTAGTGCATTACCATAAAATGTATGTTTATTGATTGTTAAAAAATAAGTATTCTACTCACAATAGTCAATAAATAAAAGGCACATCATGAAGGAACAGCTCTGTCCAATTCGCACTGCGCATCTGTCTTATGATGAGAATTCTGGACATCCAAAAGGCTTATGCGTTTCTAGCCTCTTCCCCAGAGCCCAGGTGTTGTTTGACTAGTTGGAATCCTTTGCCATGAGCTCCCTAGTAGTATGGCACTTACATCGGTAGTAGAGGCTAGAGTTTTTTCAATGTCACCCCATTTTGTATCATCTTCCACTATAAACCAATGTTTGAGTTGGTCTAATAATGATGCTTTGTGATAGTCCCTAATGTCAACACCAATCCCATTCCTCCTAATTTTTTGTGTTTGATTAATATATTATGTGAGCATCTATGTCTCATATTTCCCCAGATGTATTTTTTAAGCCTCGATTGTAGTTTTGCTAGATATGAAGATTTAATTGGGATTGGAATTGATCTGAATAGATATAAAATCTGTGGCAATATGAACAGTTTAAATGCGGCCAGTCTGCCAGACCAGGATAGTTCATGTTTAGCCATTTGATTAAGGTTGGTTTGCATTTTTGGAATGAATTTAGAATAATTGAGAGTTCCTAGGTCAGAGGTTTTGTTTGTCAACAATATTCCAAGATAAGGAATGGCTTCATTTTCCCAGATGTAGGGAAATTTGTTTTGGAGGTGCATTTTAAAATGTGATCTACACCCAGATTTAGGATATTAGATTTGGATGCATTTATTTTATAATATGAAATATTACTGAATTGTATGAGAGTTTGTTGAATTGCTGCTAAAGAAGTAAAGGGATTAGTTAAAATCCACAAAGAGCGTTATTTTGTGGTGTTTTTTTTACCCATATAGAAGCCATGTATATCTGGATCGTTTCTTACAGTTGCATCAAAAGGTTCAATTGATAGGTTAAAAATAAGTGGTGACAATGGGCATCTTTGTCTGGTACCAATCGTAATTAAACCCTTCCAGACCGGACACTTTCACCCCCTTCCTGTCCAGGCCAATTTTCAGCTTTCAGCGCTATCACACTTCGAATGACAATTACGCGGTCATGCAACACTGTACCCATATGAATTTTTTAGCATTTTTTTGAGACAGATAAAGCTTTATTTTGGTGGTATTTATTCACCACTGAGATTTTTATTCTTTTTGCTATGTAAATTAAAAGTCCAAAAAGTTTGAGAAAAGTTTTTTCTTATAAAATTTAGCAAATAAATATTATTTCATCATAAATCTTGGGCAAAATTTATTCTGTTATATTTTTAGTAAAAAAAAAAAATAACCCAAATTAGTTTTTAACCAAACATTAAATTTTTAAATATTTGTTTTTACATTTTTGTTTAATTTTTTTTTATATTATTATTTATTTATTTATTTATTTTACATACTGTCACCCTAGCAGTAGAGTGCCACCATGGTGACACTGTACTACTTGTGGGGGGGTGATGAAGATTTTTTTTTTTTACACTGATTGCTTTTACACCCATAAAGGATGTAAAAGCAATCATTTCTCCTTCTCTCTGGCTGCATTCTTGCAGCCATTGAGAACTACTGTGTGAGCTGTGATTGGTCACAGCTTGTCACATGGTAGAAGGCTGTTGTGAATAGCCTTGTACCATGTGACCTCTGTGATCATTCACAGATTTTACACGTAGTAAGCAATGATGTCAGAAGTGACATCTTGCTTACTACTCTGCATGTGATCACTGATTGGCTAATCAGTGATCACATGATCAGGACCTCGCACAGAGGTCCCGTCCGATGATCGGTGTTTCACTATGTCCGGAGGACACAGCGGGCACCGGATTGGGTGCTGCGCGCTCCCAGGGAGCGTGCACAAGCAGGTGGCTGGGAAAGCCGTTTATAAACGGCCACCTGATCCTGCACTGCTACCGTCCGACCGTTTATATACAAGTGGTTAAGAATGGTTTGGATAGCATGTCAGATACATAGACTTGGCCAGAAGGGTTTAGTAAAGTGCTGAAATGGCATTAATAATTGTTCCTGAAAATCCAAATGTATGCAGAACTTGGAACATGTATGTCCAGTGTATCCTATCAAAAGCCTTTTCGGCATCCAGGGCAAGTAATAAGGAGGGAATTTTATGTGAGTCTGCGTAATAAATTGTGTTGATTAGTCTCCGGGTTGCGTCAAATGTTTGTCTACCTTTAGTGATGCCTAACTGATCAGGCTTGATCCAATCTGGGAGTATATTGGCCAGTCTACACTCTATAATTTTAGCGTAAATTTTAATATCAGTATTTAATAAAGAAAGAGGCCTGAAATGTTGTGGGTTGTCGGGATCTTTACCAGATTTGGGGATTGTTACAATTAATGCTTGTAGCGTTTTGGAAGGTATTGGTTTAGATTGATTTAGCATTTTGGAATAGTTGGTTTAGATGAGGATTTTTTAACATTTTATAGTATTCGCTGGAAAATCCATCTGGTCCCGGACTTTTGCCATTGGGTAGTTTTTCTATTGTTCTGTTTATTTTATTTATTGTGATAGAGGAGTTTAAGATACTTAGTTGTGATTTCGAAAGAGTGGGTAAGCGAATGTGTGATAAAAATGCTTGTATGTTTTCTATAGAAGGTTGGAGAGTGGATTTGTCTTGATTTAGGTTATAAAGTGAATCGTAGTAATTAGCAAATTAATTTTATATATATATATACAGTGACTAAATGGTTAGCACTTCCACCTGGCAGTACTAGGGTCATTCGTTTGAATCCCAACCATGGCACCACCTGCCTGGAGTTTGCATGTTCTCCCTGTGTCTGAGTGGGTTTCCTCCAGATACTCCGGTTTCCTCCCACACTCCAAAGACATGCTGGTAGGTGAATTGGCTCCTGTCTAAATTGGCCCTAATATGTGTATGTATGAATGTAAGTTAGGGACCTTAGATTGTACACCCCTTGAGGGTTAGGGACTGATGTGAATGTACAATATATATGTAAAGCACTGCGTAAAATTGACAACGTTATATCAGTACCTGAAATAAATAAATAAATATATATATATTGAATGTGGCCAAAACTGTAGCATATCAATATATTTGGGAAGAATTATTTTAAAATATATTTCAAATATATTTTTCTTCCATAAGGGCTGAAGCATCTGATCGTTAAAATCCACCAACCCCCCATACAGATTATAATTCAGGCTTTTAGATGGGACCACATCTTCCATAAATTTCCCCTGAAGTGTCATTATGGATGGTGGACAGGATGTATACATCTCTCTTATTCCTCCATTTCACGGCCAACACTTTGTCATGATTCAAACTTATAAACTGCCCCCTTTGTAGCCTTGCAGTTCTTTTTTCTTTGGGTGGTACAACAGGCCAAGGTTTTCTGGAGGAACAGGTGGCAGAAAAGGGTCAGACTTGTATAGAAATTATCCAGATAGATGTGACAACTCTTTTTAAATAGTGGAAATGCCAGGTCCCAGACAATTTTTCCACTTTTGACAATGTAGGTTGGGCACTCATTGGGCTAGAGCTGGAGATCATTGCCTTTGTACACATGAAATGCATACAAATACCCCGAGGCTCTTTCACAGAACTTGTAGGACTTTACTCCATAACTGGCCTTTTTACTGGGAATGTCCTGCTTGATCCCCAGTTGGCCAGTGAAGTGGACAAGGGACTCATCTACACTGATGTTGTTGTCAAGGACATACAAGTCAGTGAATCTCTGGAGAAAAAAAATAAGTATTGGGCAAATTTTGTAGAGCTTATCATATCCAGGCTGATCTCTGGGAGGACACTGTGTGATATCACTGAAATGAAGGAAGAACGTGATCATTTCATAGCGTGACCTTGACATTACAGTTGAATAAATGGGCATGTGATGAAAGGGGTGGGTATACCAGTAAGCATGTGCTTCATTTTGCAAGCCAAGGTCAAGGTTAATTGTGAGGCCCAAAAATAATTTACACTCTTCCACTGTGAGAAGTTTCCATTCAAACGGATGGGCATATGATGAATTGTGGTTATTTACAATATATTGTTAGACATAAAGATTGGTCTGGTCCAGAATCAACTGGAATACATTTTCAGAAAAAAACCCTAATTCTTGGTGTCTGATGGGATATCTCTGTACTAGTAACAGGCCTTTCATCTAGGGGTCAAGGGCCAATTCAGCATCGGAGTGTATGTGGCTACTGGTGGCTGCCTGGACTTCAAAGCATCTTATCCTTTTTGGAGGGACTGTTTTTTCCCCCCGATTCAGTCACAGATCCACAACTGTTGATCGGTTCGTACTCAGAATTGGAATTGGACAGTAAGAGCTTCTCGCTGCTCTAATCCGTCATACTGAGGATTTTAAAAGCCTCCTCACTAGTATAACTAGGGAAAGGTATACTGATGATGATGACTGTGTGACGGGTATACTGATGATGGTGACTGTGTGACGGGTATACTGATGATGGTGACAGTGTGACGGGTATACTGATGATGGCGACTGTGTGACGGGTATACTGATGATGGTGGCTGTGTGACGGGTATACTGATGATGGTGACTGTGTGACGGGTATACTGATGATGGTGACCGTGTGACAGGTATACTGATGATGGTGACTGTGTGACGGGTATACTGATGATGGTGACTGTGTGACAGGTACACTGATGATGGTGGCTGAGAGACAGGTATACTGATGATGGTGACTGTGTGACAGGTATACTGATGATGGTGACCGTGTGACGGGTATACTGATGATGGTGACTGTGTGATGGGTATACTGATGATGGTGACCGTGTGACGGGTATACTGATGATGGTGACTGTGTGACAGGTATACTGATGATGGTGACTGTGTGACAGGTACATTGATGATGGTGGCTGAGTGACAGATATACTGATGATGGTGGCTCTTATCACTCTGTGGGACAGGTACACTTGTTGGGGAACTGAAGGGTCACTGAATTTTTGGGTCCCCCTAAGCTCTGCACGGCCAGGCAACATGCATTTTCCACATGTTCCAGAGTCAGTAAAACAGTCCTTGAGTCCTTGTTTTTGTTGTTTTTATTGAGGGTTAAATACTTGGATGGGGTCTAGGAGTATATGGGATGCCCAAAAGAACTGTAAACCTAAAGTACAATGTCTTTACAAAAAATGTACAAGATGTGGACCAAAATCAGCAACTGTTTGTCAGAAATGGACTCGCCAATGGTGGTGGGACTCACCTGCCTTGTGGGCTGCAGTACCAAGGCTGGCCAGCGGGTGCTCTCAGCAGCCAGAATCTCACTCCTGCAATCAGGCCATCACCTGAGGCTGATTGCAGAAGGTGTATTTAAGCAGGACCAGGCCTGTGAGTGCCTTGGTGTATGTTTCCCATGAGCCCCTGTACCTGCATCCTGTCTGCTTCCTGCCTGATCCTGACTCTGCTTTGATCCTGACTCTGAACGAACGCCGCCTGTCCTGACCTCGGCTATTCCTGACCACTCTTCCGCTCGCTCCTGGTACCGTTTGCCCGTTTGCTACCTACCCGGCCTGCCTGACTACGTTTGATTTGTATATATGGTTATCTGTTGGAGGTTGGGTTGTTTGCACTGTGTTATGTTTACCTTGCACTGCGTTTGTGTTGTTTAGTCTTTTAATAAATTGTCTTGTTTACTCTATACCTGAAGCCTGCGTTTCCCTGTGTCAGTCCACACACCTCTGGTCATACCCAGAGCCCTGACATTACACCAAGGCCATTCCTGACCAGAAGTGGCTGCACAGGGAATCCATCTTGGCTTTTTGTGAAGGATGCATCCGGAGGAGGTTATATACTTGTGTCTGCTAGTCTTAGATGACAGAAAATATGCCTATCAGACTTTGCAGGAGTATACCAGGGATCAGCTGCTAGAGTGCATACGGGTCGCTCATTCCCTAGTAGATTAGGGCACAGAGTTCTCTGAGGTGCAACCATTGATTCAGGCTTGTGTTGAGTTGGCTTCATCCAATACCCCTGAAAGCAGGGTGACTTTCTTCCACCATTCAGTGTGGATCAAATAGAATCACTGGTATGGTTGTTTGAGGATGATCCGGATTGCTTCTGGGAACAATATTCAGCATGTTCACCACGTGTGCTAGTGGATTGTATAAATGCAGTGCAGTCTTTGGCCAGACAGGCTATACTGTATATAAGCTGAGTTTTGTTCAACCAATACTACAGTCCTGGTCAGACTTGTTACACCCAGCCTCAGGCAGCTTGCAACAATCCAGTCCTGCTTCTAATCATTCCTCTGCTCAAAGCTCTATTCCTGCATTCCCGACAGCACCCCCAGTGACAGCCCAATATACCCTGTTATCTACCACATGTCAGTACCCCTGTTCCCACTCGCTGCACCTATCCTGCCTTTAACCCTGTAAAAAAGGCCGCTGTAGCAACTATTCCTTCCTCTGTTCCATCCTCCAGCTCTTCTCTGTCTCCAGCTACTCCCTCCATTTACAGACCTGCATTTACTTGCAGTGCCCCAGTAACTAAACCCAAGAAGAAGCAAAAATTCTTTCCAACCAGTACCATCCTACCAGTATCCAAACCGGTCAGCCTGCCGTCTGTGAACCCGCCTTCCGTTGTTCAGCCTGATGCCTGATGACCCAGTGTACGCTACCCAGCCTGATGGTCCCACCCGGCCTGATGGTCCTACCTGGCCTGATGATCTAGTGCCCGCTACCCAGCCTGATGACCTGACCCAGCCTGATGACCTGACCCAGCCTGATGACCCGACCCAGCCTGATGACCTGACCCAGCCTGATGATCCTATCCAGCTTGATGATCTGATGCCTACTACCTGGCCTGATGGCCCGATCCAGCCTGATGACCCTATCCCAGCTTGATGATCTGGTGTACGCAACCAGCCTGATGACCCGGTCCAGCCTGATGACCCGGTCCAGCCTGATGACCCGGTCCAGCCTGATGACCCGGTCCAGCCTGTTGATCTGGTGCCTGCTACCCAGCCTGATGGCCCGATCCAGCCTGATGACTCGGTGCCCGCTGTCGTGCCAGATGACTCAGTGCCCGCTGTCGTGCCAGATGACTTGGTGCCCGCTGTGGAGCTTGGTGACTCGGTGCCCGCTGTCGAGCTTTATGACTCGGTGCCCGCTGTCGAGCCTGGTGACTCGGTGCCCGCTGTCATGCCAGTTGACTCAGTGCCCGCTGTCAAGCCTGGTGACTTGGTGCCCGCTGTCGAGCCTGGTGACCGGTGCCCGCTGTCAAACCTGGCGACTTGGTGCCAGCTGTCATGCCAGTTGACTCAGTGCCAGGTAACTTGGTGCCCGCTGTCTTGCCAGATGACTCGGTGATCGCTGCTCCGCCTGATGGGCCGGTGCCGCCGCTGCTCCGACTGATGTGCCCGCTGCCCAGCCTGATGTGCCTCTGCCCGCTGCCCAGCCTGATGTGCCTCTGCCCGCTGCCCAGCCTGATGTGCCTCTGCCCGCTGCCCAGCCTGATGTGCCTTTGCCCGCTGCCCAGCCTGATGTGCCAGCCCCAGATATCCAGCCAGTTACCTGACCCAGGCGGTGGAACATTTTGCCCACTAAGGACTGCTTGGAGCTTCCTGAGGCCGCTCCTTGAGGGGGGGTACTGTCAGGAATGGACTCGCCAATGGTGGTGGGACTCACCTGCCTTGTGGGCTGCAGTACCAAGGCTGGCCAGTGGGTGCTCTCAGTAGCCAGAATCTAACTCCTGCAATCAGGCCATCACCTGAGGCTGATTGCAGGAGGTGTATTTAAGCAGGACCAGGCCTGTGATCAGTGCCTTGGTGTATGTTTCCCATGAGCCCCTGTACCCTGTCTGCTGCCTGCCTGATCCTGATTCTGCTTTGATCCTGACTCTGAACGAGCTTGCTCCTGGTACCCTGTTTGCCTGTTTGCTACCGACCCGGCCTGCCCGACTACGTTGATTGTATATATGGTTATCTGTTGGAGGTTGGGTTGTTTGCACTGTGTTATGTTTACCTTGCACTGCGTTTGTGTTGTTTAGTCTTAAATAAATTGTCTTGTTTACTCTATACCTGAAGCCTGCGTTTCCCTGTGTCAGTCCACACACCTCTGGTCATACCCGGAGCCCTGACACTGTCTCTTTAAAGAACACTGAGTCCCCTTTGGTGTACCTCCTCAGACCCTAGTTAAACCTCTCCTCATCCATCTGGCTGTCCTGAGGGTATCCCTGGGCAAGGGAATTCAAGATCTACAGTGGTAACTAGTTGGGTTTTGCATTTGACCGCCATCTCCCTTCTTTGGCCCAGGGGGTGTAGAAGTATTCACACTTTTTTTCTGTAGACTAATGGGTTGCAGATGCTTCCAGGCCTCACACTGAGCTGTCTCCTTCCTGCCTGCTGACAGGCTGTCTTTGCTAGCAGACAGCAGGACAGTGGAGATCCTTCTTTCCAAATTCAGCCTGTAGGTAGACCACTTTCCCAAAGTAGTACAATGTTACTATGAAAAAATTATATTACTTTGGTCATAGTGAAATGCGGAAAAAAAAAACTTTTAAAAAAAGAGAAAAATTTAATAAATTTAAAATAATAAAATTAAAAAAATATCTTTTTTTTTTGTATTGTCACCAGTCAGTGTCCCTGATCACCGCCATGCCAGTTATATGATGATGCTGTACTGCACTTGTGATAGTATGTAAAAAAAAATAGAGAAAATAATTTTTTTAATTTCTTTATTTTCTATACAACTTCAAACAACGCGCCATGCCTATTACGAAATACGTCAGACTGTCTACTTTGCAAAATGGGGTCATTTTGGGGATATCTGTACTGTTCTGACATTCTTGGACATCAAGAAATTAGATCGGCCGTCAGTACTTCAGGACTGATCAATTTTCAGATATTTCCCATAGTTTGTGAACTCTGTAACTTTCCTACAGACTAAATAATAAATACTGATTTGGGTTATTTTCATCAAAGAAATGTAGCAGAATACATCTTGGCCTAAATTTATGAAGAACAATTATTTATTTGCAAACTTTTATAACAGAAACAAAGAAAAATGTGTTTTTTTTTTTTCAAAAATGTTTGTTTTTGTTAATTTAGCAAAAAATAAAAACCCCAGTGGTGATTAAATACCACCAAAAGAAAGCTTTAGTTGTGTGAAGAAAATGATAAAATTTTAGTTTGGTTACAATGTTGCATGACCACGCAGTTGTCATTCAAAGTGTGAGAAGTCTGAAACCTGAAAATTGGCCTGGGCAGGAAGCGGGTGAAAGTGGAAGCGGTTAAAAAAGATGAATTAGAGGATATGTCATCCAGAACGTGGTCTATAGGTATGAGATTAGAGGAGCAATAAAGCACAGTCATTGTACTGCACGGCCAGTAATAATCAGCGTATGACATTTGGCTGAATATGGCTACCTACTGTAAATGTACATCATTATTAAAACGTCAAAATGTTATAACGATCATTTACATTACAATCCCGTCTGTCTGCAGCTGGATGTATGCTTCAGGAACTTTTGTGTCTCTTCCATTACAATTCATAGTTTGTATTTTTCAATGGCTTTACCTTCTCAGTAAGATGGAGTTTCAATTCTTCTCATTGTTTTTTTTGGTTTTCATTCAAAACAACCGAGCCTGCTGCGTCTGCTACTAAATCCATCCCTGTCCAAGGTTCCCTTAGGTAATGTCGGCTCGGCATATAATTATAGAGGAGAGACCGAAGCTTTTCTGTGATAATTAGCAGACTTGTAACATCAATTAATATGTAATATGATCCATGTGATTAGTGATGGAACCGCAATGAAAGAAGTCATTAAATGATCACATTGAAACACATTAATGATAATACAGAGACAGTTGTCAAACATCAAGGCTCATCATACAGATCATATTCCATGTTCCTTATATACCTGAGGAGCAAGAAAAGTACCTGATTTACAGCGGAATGTCAGAATAGACCGATACTGGTTTTATGTCAGTAGAAGTATGGAACTAACTGCTATGGATTATGTGTGGGCAATATTATTATTATCAATTATAATAATAGATCCTATAATATTAAAACATTAACATAGCTGTTACATGAGCATTTTTTTAAATGTTAGCAGTATAACTAATACTACTACTAATAATAACAACAGCATCCAACATAACATAGTAAAATTCGTTTTCAGAAATGTATGCACCATGTTTGATAATAATAAAACATTTAACATAGCATAACATTACATGAGCATGTTTTTAAATGTTAGCAGTATTTTAGTATAAATTGAGTAATACTAATATCAATACTAATACTACTAATAATAATAATCACAACAACATCCAACATAACATGGGAAAATTAATTTTCAGAAATGTTTGTACCATGTTTGATCAGCAATTGCTTTGCTTCTTTGCCCAAACATAACCCTTTGCTTGCGCATCCTCATTTCAATTATCAGATTTCAGCTTGTCTCAATCCAACATTTACTATAAGTGCCACCAGACTTAAAGGATAAGTTCACCTTTTGTAAAAAATAATAAATGCACATTTTTTTGCAGGTAAAAAAATGAGCATTTATTATTTTTGTCCAGAGGAGAATATCTGCTTGCCTTACGGGATGTACGGGATGTACGGGATATACAGGATGTATGGGGTGTACGGGATGTATGGGGTGTACGGGGTGTATGGGGTGTACGGGATGTACGGGGTATATGGGGTGTACGGGATGTACGGGGATGTATGGGGTGTATGGGATGTACGGGATGTACGGGATGTACGGGGTGTATGGGGTGTATGGGGTGTATGGGGTGTATGGGGTGTACGGGATGTACGGGGATGTATGGGATGTACAGGGTGTACGGGGTGTACGGGATATACAGGATGTACGGGATGTACAGGATGTATGGGATGTACGGGGTGTATGGGATGTACAGGATGTACGGGGTGTACGGGATGTACGGGGTGTACGGGATGTATGGGGTGTACGGGATGTACGGGGTGTATGGGATGTACGGGATGTACGGGGTGTACGGGATGTACGGGGTGTATGGGATATACAGGATGTACGGGATATACGGGGTGTACGGGATGTACAGGATGTATGGGGTGTACGGGATGTATGGGGTGTACGGAATGTATGGGATGTACAGGATGTACGGGGTGTACGGGGTGTATGGGATATACAGGATGTACGGGATGGAGGGGGTTTACAGGATGTACGGCCAAGCAGATATTCTGACAGGAAGCTTCAATGAACTACCATGGTGGTCCACAGTGCCGTGGTAGTTCATTGAAAACTACAAGCCCACAGCCGCTAAGGCTGCCGGGACTTGTAGGCACTCATTCACAGAGTTCTGCCGCGGCCGTTTGGGAGGAGCCCCGCACGGCGACACTGTTTTCAAATCTGACAGATAGTACAGGGAAACTTCTCCCCGTACTATCTGTCAGAGGGAGGGGGGTGGTGGACATGGCTGCGGCTATGGAAACATGTTACATGTTTCACTTTAAAAACATGTAACATGTTTCAAAGGTGATTATGAAATAACCACCTCCAAATATACAATATAATAATTACCCCACAACACAATCAACACCCTCCCCTGAAGGTGTACAAAACCATACAAGTAAAAGTGTTTTTACAAAATCATCCTATAGACTAATAATTGTGCAACATAATCTCTACACCATCCATCTACTATTCATTTTAAACAAAAATAAAATATATTTATAAAGTCCACTACAAAATAAAGTCCACTGAAATTTCTTTACAATCCACCAGAGAAAAATCCAAACAATTCTTCCAACGGTGTCCAAAAAATTATATCCACCTCAAAAAAAGAAAATTCATATAGTGCATTACCTTTTATAAATAAATAAAAATTATTTTAAAAACATCACATAATTAATATAGTGAAAATTCGTGAAAAATGGTGAAAAAACATGAAAAAAACGTGAATCAGTGAAAAATAAGTGTATATCACACTCATCAGTGCCACATCAAAACCAAAGCAAAGATTTAGTGCACACTTCTATTTGTAGTAAGGGTACCCTTACCAACCATCCCAAAAAAGTATGCTTCAAACACTCAAGGAACTCTCATGGGTCTTTCTCAGATCTCTCCTGTTATCACGACACTCCCTTCGAAGGGATAGTGACGTCAAGACGTTTTACCGGAACCGGAAGTTGCCTGGTGGCCATTTTGGAGAAGGGAAAAGATCGTGGAAGCACACCTGGACGTTTCCCTGGATGGCTGTGAGATTCCTTTCATTCCATAACATGCGATTTTAAAAGCTTTATCATGTGAGCAGCTGAAATAAAAGTACACTTTGTTTATCTGTTTGGCGGTATCACACTATGTTTTATATGTTCTCTTGGAGACACTGAATATAGAG